ATAGATATGAAGAGATTATGATAGATAGATAGATAGATATGAAGAGATTATAACAGATAGATATGAAGAGACTGAGTTAGATACGAATATATATATATATATATATATATATATATAGATAGATAGATAGATAGATAGATAGATAGATAGATAGATAGATAGATGAAGAGATTTTGATAGATAGATAGATAGATAGAAATGAAGAGACTGAGATAGATAGATAGATAGATAGATAGATAGATAGATAGATAGATAGATAGATAGAAATGAAGAGACTGAGATAGATACAAAGATAGATATATAGATAGATGAAGAGATTGGGATAGATAGATAGATAGATAGATAGATAGATAGATAGATAGATAGATATTAAGAGACTGTGATAGTTGGGAGGCAATTAAGATAGATGAATAGATAGACATGTAGAATCATCATATATATATATATATATATATATATATATATATATATATATAGATAGATAGATAGATAGATAGATTTATTGAATTCAAAGACTCGGATAGATAGATAGATAGATAGATAGATAGATAGATAGATAGATAGATAGATAGATAGATATTAAGAGATTGTGATAGTTGGGAGGCAATTAAGATAGATGAATAGATAGACATGTAGAATATATATATATATATATATATATATATATATATATATATATATATATATATATAGATAGATAGATATTATTGGGCTAAGACAAACAAACAGATATATTTTTTTAATTTTCATGTTACTTTTAACTTGAAACTTCTCGGAACACCTGGAATTTTTTTTTATTTTTTATTTATTTTTGGGCTGCTAATATATAAAAAAAAATTTGTCCCGATTCATGACTGTGTCACAAAAACTAAACCTTGAGACACGTTAATAATGACAATAAGAGAATTTAACTTGAAAAAAAAATTGTAATATAGTTCATTCCTTAATTATTTTCTAGTCTCTTTAACTTTGATATTAGGAGATTATGTGAGACTATTTTTTCTGCAATAGACATATCCGGCAGCTTCGCATAACTAGACTGACAGTCTTACCGTTAACCATTATATTATATACTGAAGATACCACGTTCTATAGGAGCTCCATCAAGTCACGAGATGACCAGAGCCTGACAGCTGATCTCTCCTCTGACCTTACTTTCACGGCTCAACGGACGAGGAAATACCGTGTAACATTCAATATCTCAAAAACCAAACTCGAACAGAGCAGACACTGAGTTCTTATCAAGACTCGATGAAGGGTTGTATCCTCAATGAGGGTCTTTACCTGGAACGTCTATTGGAACCCAAGCTCTCTCCAAACCTCAAACGGAATTCGTATATTCGATCCATCGCTAAAGATGCTGTAAAAATGATCAGTTCTTTGTACAGCCCTCTGCTATGCTCTACCTAAGAGCCGGACCAGTCCAAAAAGGAAGTATTTTTGTTACATCTGGATTAGAGCTACCCAATCCTCACTTTCCGGTTTTAAGAGAGTTCAAAAGCGTTTGCACGGCTTTGTGGGTGATGAATTGTTTCCCACCCTACCACCTCTTTCCCACAGACGAAATGTTGCTAGCCTCTCTCTATTCTGCCACTATTTTCATGGAAGAAGTTAGGGTGAAAAACCTTTCTTGATTCAACCTGTTCAGACCTTCGCATCTAGAGCCCTCAATTGGTGAGGAGAAAACTTCATCCAAACAACTTTTTCTTCAGAATTATTGTAATCTGTAACCTACTTCCGAAAGAATGCTTTTCCGATCATTACAATCTTAATCTCTTTAAGTCTAGGTTCAACCTTTAGCTGTCCTACTTATCCTCAAAAATACGTGCCTCTTACTCTTACCTTGTACGCCTTTACAAACAACCTCATTTAACAGCTACCTTGAGTGGCTCTTGAGCCTTCAGCGATCTGAATTTTCGAACTCTTATCCGATTTTGATTAGTACTTCAAATAGTTATTACTTTTTTTTTTTATTATTGCTGCTGTAGTTATTTTAATCTGTTTAGAAAACTACACAAAAACAACAGGTATTCAAAAAAAGTTATTTTAGTCTGAGAAAAAGCCATGATTTTGGGGCACCTTGCGAGGATCGATTTCACTGCACAGTGAGGCGCACATCCCAACAATCTTATTGCCATTTCATAAGACTAGCTTAGTTTGGTGCAAGGCCACAAGTATGGAGCGCTTAAATTTAAATTTAATTATGTCCTGTTGAAATTAGATAGGCGACTATTACCACACGGCAAGATAAACACGCAGCAAAAGACATAGTTATTTACTAAGTTTTCAGACCTTTACATGTCACTTCCATAGAATCAAATTGTCCTCGTTTCCTCTGTTTCAAATATAAGAAGACAGTTGCATTCATTCAGCTTTTTCACAAGAACTACGCAATTGTAGAACAGACTCCCGTGTTGTTGTTTCCCTGAACATTTTAATATTAACCACTTCAAGTGAAATACCAATTGTCATCTTTCCGACTTATTCTTAGTTACCATGT